TATGAGGGACGAAAGAAAACCAGATGGAATGACACACAATCGATAAAATCACGCCGCGGTTTCACCCGGTCCATTTCTCGCGCCGGCCCGCCGCTGTAACTATTATGTAAACCCGACGCGCAACCGGATTTATCAAAAACACAACGGGGAGATACGCGGGAGGAACTAATAATAGAAATTCATAATAAATCACGTGCGTTCTCGCCCCGCGCGATGCGGCTGCGAGAATTCATCATCCGGCGCGATCCCCTGCGAAAATACCCAAATCAGATTACCGGCTCGTCCATTTTACACGCCGTTTAGTTAGCGCTCGCGTCTTCCTTTGCGAGGACCCGTGATCCCCGTTTTAATTTTAATCGCGCCATCCCGCGTCCAATTTTACGTTTCAAGTGGCTCGGAGCAACCGAGCGTGCAAGGGGAGATCGCCATTTTTCTTGCACTCCTCCCCCCCACCCCCTCCCCCTGCACACACCTCCGCGATCCGAATTCGCGTTCTGTCCTTCGGCCACTTTTACCCATTCCCTTAACTTCCTTGCAAATTACGGCAATCCGTTCTGGCCTTCTGGGCTATTCCTCCCGCGCCGGTCTATGCCAATCTCTATTCCCTGCATCATTCACTCGTCTCTCAGGAGAGAATCCCGGGACGTGGCCATCCATCTCGGCGAGGAACTTGTTCCAATCATGTCGGATCCTTAAATCGTTCCTTATTCGCTCCTTCTGCCGTGACTCCCCGCCTTTCTCTTTTTCTATCACTCTCTCTCTCTCTCTCTCTGACTTTCGAGAGTGTCGCGATATCAATTTCTGACTCTGCACTTTTGCGCCGCATTTTTCCGCTCATCAAAACGAGCAAATGCGTGAAGCTCTCTACCTCTCTTCTCTCTCTCTCTCGTCCTGGATACCAAGTTTTGCAAATCCTGGCCATCTCGGCCAATGTAAAAGAGAATTCCCGAACCGGGCGAAGCGCCTCGAATATTTCGACGAGTGGAGAACAGCCGCGCGAGTTATTCCAACTTTGCGCGCTGTGAAAGCGACTTATTGTTTCATCCCTTTTTAATCGCACTGCGATTTATAAACCTGTTATTCTCCCGCTAATCTCCGCCGTTCACTTCCATCGATTCAGATTATCGTTTTTACAACACCATCGATATACCTGTTGCGCGAATTCAGGTGGATTCCCATAGTGATTTCCATTCATCCCCCGCGAGAATCAAATCCAGTCATTGTCGACGGCGGGACGAAGGGTGAAAGAGAGGAGGAGGGGAGGAGAAGGGGGGGGAAACGGGAGACGTTACTCCGAAAATCCTTATTCTCCGGTGGAGAAACACGAGAAAAACATTTCGCGGCGTCAATAATACACGGTTGGCGTATTGAATGCGTTCTATCGCGCGACTCTATTATGTATCGCTCAAGCGCCATAACGTCGCGCGTTCCTCACCTTTACCTCTCCAGCCAGGTGTGTGTCGCTGCACGTGAAAAGAAAGGAAACCCGCCCACACACGCGCGCTCGCTCACGAAAAGGGGGAGCTTGAAGGCCTTCGCACGAAACTAACAATGTAACGAACTTTTGTCGTCTTGTCTACGAACTTGCTTTAAGACGTAGCAACAAGCAAATCGGCCGATCACAGTCGTTTATTAGAAGAATAATCGATTGGCTGGTCGACTTGCTCACGTCCAAAAGAAAGGTTGTGAACATGAACTTTGAGCGGTGTCTATAATGAGAATTTGAGGTGTTATAATTAAGCTTCAAACTTTAAGCAACTGACCGACCACAATCGACTATTCTTCTCACATTTGACTGTGATCGCCGCAAGTCGACGTTTCAATTCTACGTCAAGTCTATTTTCTACATTAAGTTTTCAAAGATCTTCTATTATGCTCCGTTCGATGCTGCAAGTAGGAAGTCACTTCCGTTTTTTTTCACTTCAAAACTTAACGTAGAATTTAACATTTTCCCCCTGGGAGATCTAAATTCCCTTTGCAGCATTAACGGGGGCATTATTAGTGCTCCTTTAATGCTACAAATGGAAAGTTATTTCCGTCTTCTCCACTTGTAGACTCAATGTAGAACCTAATAAACTTAACGTGGAACTAAAATTTTAACTCGGCTGATCGATTTCTTATGGCTTAAAGCTTAAAAGCTTAAGTCTTACTCCTTAAATTCTCATTATGAACGCCGCTTTAGTCGCAATCGTAAGTTTTTACGAAAACTGATCAATCACGGCCGATTATTCTCCTTGCGGTCGAAGAATATTCGACTGGCGGTCAATTTCCTTGCAGTTACGACTGAAAATTCGTTACGTGCAAAGGCCTTGACTCGCGTGACGTTAGGCGCTGCAAAGTAGCCTTTTCCTATATATAGCGGAAAGCGGGAAAGCCGAAAATACTTTTAACGCCGAATGCACGACATCGCGCGTCAATAGCGTGCGCAACAGCCAGGGTGGCACTTAACCTTAATTATAAGCCCTTCTCGGCTAGCGACTTCGCTTAGCGCGCGACGGTGGTGGTGACGGTGGCAGCTTTTAATCGTGGCTTCCTCTATGTGTCTCAGTCTAGTCGTTAATCTTTTTATCAACGCCTCTCTTCCTCTCCATCTCTCCCTCTCTCTCTCTCTCTCTCTCTCTATATATATATATATATATATATATATATTTATATAGACCGGCGTTAATGTTCATAACGACGAAGGGGGTAGCAGAGTCCCTCTCGAGTGGTTAAGCGCTGTCTCGTACTCTCGATGGCAATATCTTCAAAGGATGCCGGTCCATTAGCTTTTAGCGCTGATGCAGCTTCCGCGTAATCCACGACGACCTCATCAATCCAACGGAGACCTGGCGTTCGAGAGGGCCGCCTCCTCTGGAATTGACACGCTCTCCATCGCTCCAACCGACGGCGGCTGTCAGGGATGAGGGTGAAATCCAGATATTCCGCGACGAGACGATAAATCCGGAAAATTCGACCGTTATGTTTAGAGAAAGTCGTCCGTTTCCCCCCGCTCCCTCCATTTTTTGCAATTTAATACGCGCGCTCTCATTTCTCACTTTCTAGAATTTAATTTACCCCTTCGGCTGCCTTCCCCTCCCTCCTTTTCTCTCCTTTTTAGAATTTATGTACGTCACCGCAGCGCCCCGTTTCGGAACGAATTTATATTTTGCCCCTGTATTATGTTAAATCCTTATATTATAATATACTCTACGTTATATTAAATCTAACTCCTCTTCTATTTCGGATTTTAATATACATCTATTTCTTGCTCCAGAATCGCTTGAGAATTTAATTCATCTGTACATCTCTTCCCTTCCTTCTTCCTCTCTCTCTCTCTCTCTCTCTCTCTTTCATATTTAATAATTTAGTTAATCCTTTTTTGTCTCCCGCGGTTTAATATATTCTTTATATATATATCGCCTTTTTGTGGGATTTAAATTATTTTTCAACTCCATATTATGCTTCTTGACGTTTATGTATTTTTATTTTTCATTTCTGCAAGATTTAAATTCGATGTGAGTACTGAGTTAACTCCTTAGTACGACCAATATATAGGTTTCGATGAATTTTCGCCATTTGCAGAAATGGTGGCGAATAAGTTAGCACAACGAAATCGATTGCTCACCGAGCAGGTACATTGAGTATCGCGTTTAATAACACGCTATATTTCTGTCCGTCATTTTAGTTTCAGATTTCCAATGCGAAGTAAATAATGAGTTTTTCGAGTACCTACGTATAATCACATACCGCTGTAGAAATAAATATATTTTCAAAAATATATACAAGAGAGAGTAATCGATATTTTCAGTAAGCAGAGGGATTCCCCCTTTCGTTACTTTTATTACGTTACAAAACTCGATTTAACTTTATAAGAAAAAAAGTTCCTACAAATGGTCGAAGAAACTTGGGTATTTCAAGGTTAAGCTCGCGTACAATGCAATTGTTTCTAAAAGAGTACTTGGCGGAATATTTTCGACGTCGATCCCTATCATATCAATATTTTGCGCTCTTCCTCCTCTATCGCTACAGTCGTAGCTTTTGTAAAACGTTCGCGCGTATATATGTTTCGTGTTTTTCTTTCTCTCCCGTTGTAACCGTTTTTTTCCGCGATACTAAAATTTTCTCGTTAGAACTCCTGAATTTACAGCCGCTTCCGACGAAATTTCGCGTTTGTGAAAATATTTTTCGGGAAACGGCATCGTGTTTTTCCGAGAGAAGAGCCCGGACCAGGCAAGTTATCCAACTCGCGATCGAGAGTCGATTTTCCCTTAGCGAAAAATATCGAGGCCGCCATTTATCGCAACTTTCCAACCCTCAACATTATACAGGGTGTTCCCGCTTTTAACGGACGAACTTCGAAAGTGTACAGAGGCGGCCGAAATACAGCGGCGGTCCCGAGATACCTACGGTGTTAAATTATTTGCTATCGTCGCCGTACGTCGAAAATTAGCGTGAGCAGTGAAATAACGCGGAAACATTCCCGGAATTTGCCAAGTTAAAGAAGAAAGTATGAGAAAGAGAAGCTTGGAATGTTTAGTTGTGCAATTTTTTCTTCCTTTCATTTTGTCTCGAGCGTCCCTATGCTTTCTCGATGTTTATTCGTTAAAGCAATAAGCACTCTGTGTGTCTTTGTAAACGAGCCTCGGAACTTTATTCAAACAAAGTCTGCCTTTAATTAGCTGCAAAATATGGCTTTGCGATCTATTTACCTTTCGGAAACCCGCTCCGCGTAAAGTCCTTCTTTTTCGTCTACGTAATACTTCGGGACTATCGGGTGTCGCGCCGATACATTCACTCCCGGCGAGGAAAAGCCGACTCCGAAATTCGCCCGAACTGTCATCCGAAGCGTCGCACTCGGAGCTGTCGTCGGAGGAAACGCCGCTAATCGCGCGGGACACCCCGTATATATTCGCTAAACATTCCCCCCTTTGCCAGGGATCTTTAATTTAACTCTGCATACGCGCCGCGTATTACGACGGCGTTTATCGAATCGATTACGGTTACCGAAATAAACCCACCTGAGGCGGAGTGAACGACGGCCAGCAGCAACAACAGCAAACAGGATGTGATACACGGTGAAGGCATGCTTGTCATTACTTTGTTCCGACGTTCCTTCCGGAAAAACCGTTCACCTCATCTCAGGCACACCGCGCACACCGATTGATCGGGGCTAACAACAACACGTCTATTCACGAGCAACGCACGACGCACCAGTGTTGTGATACCGTCGATAATACGCAGGACCGACCGACCGACCGACGTGACGCGGGTGAATTTTTGCACGGATCGAAACCTCGACCCTACATCTCAGGCGGCCGAGCGTGTACTGATACCTGGCGCGCTTTATGCGCGCGGCTGTTCCCCATCTCTCTCTCTCTCTCTCGACCGTCTCTCTCTTAGTCACGTGCCTCTCTCTCTCCTTTCCTCTCTTACCTCCTTTCTCTTTCTCTTTCTCTCTCTCTCTTTCCTCTTTCGTGCACCTGCCCGGCGATCGCCTGTCTCTCTTCCTCTCGCGGTCATTGGCCGCCCACACGCGCCCCGCCAACTCGCGAAATTTGTCGATAATAATAAATAAATAATAATCCTTTTCTGACCGTTGAGTGACTTCGAAAATTTGCAATTTCGAATCTGGACTTGTCAATCCGACATCTCTGGAATTGGGAAGTGTAGTAATTTGGACGGTTGAATCGGCTCGTCGAATTTTAATCTTCGATCTGTGCGGCTTGACGCGGCTTTTGCGGGAGATCCGTGTGAAACGTCGAAACGACTGTCAAATTTTCGTACTTGCGGTAGTATAATTATAGCGTAATTTAAGCTAGACACATTTTTTTAATTATAGGCGAAGGAACGAGCCTAACCTGATCGGGCGGCTGAAAACGTACGTCTGACGCGTTGTCGAAACGCACTGTTCGAATCTAAAAGGTACCTCTCAACCGCCGTTGAATCGTATCATTCGAAGACAAATCGATTCTCCGACCTGCCTTTGAATCGCAAAAGCGAAAACGAAAAGGCGCCCGCTCTCGTCGTTAAATCGTACTACTCGACACTGAAATGGCCATCTTGACTTCCTGCTGAGACAGGAACAATTAAGGCTGCTGTACGTGAAAAAGAATTAGTCGCGATCGTGAGACCGTAAGCAAATCGACCAACCACAATCGATTATTCCGCAACGTAAGAAGAATAGTCGACTGTGGTTAGTCGATTTGTTCGCGACCTTACGGTTATGACTAAAACTTTTTTACGTATCTACAAAAGCCTTTAGCAATAAAAGGATGGGCTGATCTATTATTGAGTATACTGCTTGAAAATATGTGCCTCTCTGTTTGATTTGTCGTTGAGTCGTACTACGACTTCGATTTGTCACTGTAGCGTTTCAAGAAATAAGTTCCCGTGCATTTATTGAAGGGATGCCAATGTATATTTTAATATTCAATGCACGTTTCTCTCTTGATTCAATCCATGAGGCCGGAGTACAACAAGCTGCCAGAAAGTAGAATCCTAGAGAAATAGAGAAGGGCAACTGAATTCGATATATCGAAAGACCGCCATTTTCTTTCCATGGTGATACTTGGAGCAAGCGAGTAAGGAAGGAGAAAAAAGATAAGTAGAGAAGAAAGGTTGCAAGAGGCCTCCATAATTAATCGAAGTAAAAATATTCTCCCCATAATTGTAGCTCGTTATAACTCAAAACATCAAAAATGATACGCTAAAAGTATTGGGTCAACGCAAATTTTCGTCCTGTTTCTTAATCAAAATATATACATAAAACATTTATTTATTTTAAAATACAATGAACAAATTTTAAATTAACGTGCCATCTCTTCGATAGCTGCCCGATCTCTCGTAGAAATTTTGAATTTTCTAAACAAAGAACCGATTAAGAAACGGAGCAAATTTTTGTATCAGCTCAATATAACGAAAATATTATAACTTACTAGCACATCATATGTGTTCTTAGAGCCAGGTTCGCAACCTCCGGTTAACTTAATCTGCTGATTATTCCATTGGAATTCCACTCGCCAATCACATTTGCCGTTGAGCAGAATTGACCAGAAATAACCAATCACTGTTGACATTTAACCGGCTAAGTTAACCGGAGGTTGTGAAACCAGCCTTTGATCGTGATGGTCAAAGAAAATAGCTCTTGTGATTCAGGGAGCCACTTTAAGCTACAAATGCTTCGAGGCTTAGTATAAAAAAATCATATTATTTTTTAAGCGCTCCAAAGCATTTGCACGTTCAAATGGACCGTTCCCTCAGGCAGCCAATCCAAAGGCTTTCTCCACAGTTTACAGTTGCCACCATAAACATAATATATCTAGACCAAACATTTGCTTTTGTTTGAGGAGTGGGAATGTACGTAGAAAAGAATGTACAATGTTTTGTGTCTCTTGCGTTTCCTTTCGCACGCGTAGTTTATGCGCGTGTTTATGCGCGAACGAGAGAGACGTCAGGAAACACCGAGTGCATCCTTTTTTTCATATACTTCGACCTTTACTCCTCAATACTCGGTCTAGATATATCGTGTCTATAGTTGCAACAGTAGCAGTCGGTTCCTTTGATGTAGCGGTGATCGATCACGTGACGGTCGACCATATTGAGGAAGGTGTAGGCGCTTAATTTGAACGATATCAAGAGACGCTTCCAACTGTTTGTGTCTTAAAGCAAGGAAAATTATGGATCAAACCATACACGGAAAAAATCAACCAGAAAAGAAACAACCAGATGCGTTCTGGTTGAAGGAAATAGAATTTCTGGTTCTTATGATTCAAACATGGCTGTTATAACCAGAGATTCTGTTTCCTTCAATAAAAATGCATCTGGCTGTGCCTCTTTCCAGTTGATACAACCAGACTTCTTTTTCCGCGCGGTTTTAAAATTTAATGTAAAGTAAAAATCCTTCTATATGCATGAATCATACATTCGGCCAAGGTTCGTTAACAAGATCTACCAGAGTTTAAATATGAGCAAATCGAGAAGATAATCGATCTTTCTAAAAAGAAGGGGAATCGAGACTATCGAATCGTATCGCATATCGCTCGACATTAGTTATAGACTAGCGCCATCTAGTGAAGGAAGAAAGGGAGGACAGGCCACAGGTGATCACATGATCATGTCCGAATATTGAGCGAAATCGAGGGAGTGTCTGGTGTTGTGTGCGAGTTATTTCTTCACGCAACAATGCTCCGACAATTGTCACTGCTTCTCGCTAGCTTTGCAGCAGGTAATTATCCTTTAATTTCCTGAACAATCTCTTCAGAATGCCCACAGTTCTCCGAGTTTCGTGCGATCGAAGTCCCGACTGCAGGACCAACAGAATCCAATTTCCCAAATTCCTTGGGAAAACCCGAATATCTTCGAAACGTTTACCTTTCTCCATCTTTGATTAAAATAAGTCTTTTTTCTCCTGAAACGTCTGTAAATCCTGATGGTTATGCCGATTCGTTGATGTATTTGATTGTTGTATCACACTGACACATGAAGATCTAATCGAAACCTAATGATCGTTAGGTAAATTTTTAGAACTCTGCCTCCGTTATTATTAATGATGTCAAAGGAACTTCCTGTTTGACACATAATACTTGAAACGAGTATATGTGGTTACATTTAATAGGTACATTAATTTTATGTTTCTTTCTAGTTCAAGCCACTGGCGAATTTGTTGTCCTACATTCTCCCGACAGCGTAGAATTCACTTCAAATGGAGAGATCGAGCAAAGCATTCTCAAGGATATGCTGTCTGCAGCGCTTGGTTATACAGGAAAGCAGGTATGTCATTTTTAATCTTAATAATGCTTCATTCTATATGTTCTTAGGTACCATAAAACTCTGCATATACATGAAACATTTAAACTGTAATATTTTGGATATTAATTTATCACAAGAATGTCTATGATATTGCAGAAGGATTCGGAGCATAGCATTGCGATATGGGATCCATTCTCAATGCCTAAAGCATTGGTAGCGATGCCGATCGAAGGGATAGAGAAGCTGCCTTTTATGAAGGATAAAGCCAAAGTCGAATATGCTATGATTTTTGACGAGGCAGAGGAAACTACTTGGCAAGCTATTAGAAGCAGAGTGGAGGAAAGGAGCAACGACAATACATTGGTTAGGATCAACTTGAGCGATGGTGTTGACGCTGTAAGTATGATTGAACATTTCGATATGGAAATTGCTTCTGTATATTTATATGTTACTTCAGCTTGAACATTCTCCATTAGTTGTGAAGTGTTCTAAACAGAATTCTTTTATTCTGCCAGTTGGGCCAGTCGGCTCTCGGTGAACTCAAGCCTGTTAACATAGACAAGCTGACAGCGCTGAGCTCAGAAATTGAGGAGGATCGCAGATTCGTCGAGGAGATGCAGCTCCTCCACGCGATCGCCGACAACGCGTTTTCCACGAAGAAACACGACTCTAGCACAGACGTCTACTGGATAGTAGTATCAACGTTTAAACCGGTCCTAGACTTCCACGGGAACACCTCTGCGGCAGCCAACGAGGCGTGCACAGTACTGAATGACGCCATGGAACACATCTCCAAGGCTTTCGTGAACGCTTACGATGGCAAGGTATGCGTTTTGATATTTTTCTTCCAGACATGGTGTTATAGTTTGTATTATTCATTTGTTTTTCAATCCTTAATTTAATAATCTGAATTTAATATTTTCCTCTTAGAGAGAAGGAAAGAGATAATATTTTCAAGAACTGTTTAATATATTTTCGATATTTGCATTTCTGTTATAGGTTGTAATTGCAGCATTCACGAATGATGCCAGCAAAGTGAGGAACGCCCGTTCCGTGCTTCTCGATAGAGAACCCAGAGCCGCCGATGCTTCGGTGAGTCCTGTAACGTGCATTACCTTAAACTCTGTTCGCGTCTTTCATAGTATCTAATGCGTTTCAAATATGGGACTACTTGGATATATTTGGGAATATTGATTAAAGGGTGTTCACAAGCAGTATTTGTCATTGAGCTATCTGCGCAAAGATGAGAATAAATTTCTAATCTTAAGTTATTGACTATTTCAAGAAAGTGAATTCGTTGTTTTAATCGTTAATATTTTAATCGTTTTAAGATTTTGACGATGTGAAATATGTTTAAACGGGATGTAAGCAAAGATGTAGTGTCACGTTTGAAATACTGCTGTAAGTCTAATTTCAAAGATAAAACTTTAAAATTCCGCATACGTAATTTCTACACATTAAAAAAAGTTTTTTTTAATATCATCATATAGGTTGCTATACAATATATGTGACTGTACAAAATGATAACGTATAATGTCTAATTAATAAAAATCATTTTATCAATTTTTATTGGAAATATTCAACTAATTTTTTTTTAATGTCCTCAAGATTTGCATAGTTTTATGTACGAGAAGCAGAATTACTTATAATTATTATTATTATCGTTTCACGTGGCTTCGTTGCATAATCATTTCATTTAAAATCACAAAATTGTTACAATTTTATTTTTACTTATAATTAATTAATTCTGTTCTGTTTATTATATATAATTTAATTCCTATTTAATTAAAATTATAATTATATGATTTTAAAAGAGATTGTTTGTACAGTGAGAGGCCACATAGAACAATAATTCTATTTTCCAGGCTACATAATTCTTGAAAATGTTTCAAAAACAAAATTATTTTCAATAGCAAGTGATAAGAAGGTAGATATATTACAGAGAGNTTATCTTTTATAATAACATTAGATTTCAACACATTTTTAGAAAAGGTATATATATGCTTATTACGTGTTTAAAATTGCAAAACTTTATCTTTAAAAGCTTACAGCAGTGCTTTAAATATGACATTGTACTTTAGCTTTCATTTCCTCTTAAATATAAATAGCATTTTACTTGAACCTTGCGTGTGATTTCATCAAGTAAGTATCATACTTTTTATTTAAAAAACGTTAACTAAAATTCATTATTGAAAATAAAATGTGAAAATAGAATTCCCGTATAAATGATCGTCGATCGCTCTTTTATTATATCCCGATATGGATTAACAATTGTTACATCTATTTTCCATAGTTTTAAATGATCCATATTTAACAATATTTTAATATGTATAATATATCCATGAAAAATGTGAACGGATAATATTGTACGGATTGAATAAAAAAAAAACAATGTATAAGCTGCATGGAAATACGATAAAAGGTTCGAAAATCGATAGATACAATTTTCAGCGCGACCTCGTGTACTTTTCGAATATTCAATTATTCAGAGTTACAGAACAGAATCGCGTCACGATATTAATTAGCACACAACTGTCTTTCCTTCATCTGTACTGTTTATAATTGTTACGGGACCTTTTGTAGGCTTATAAGACTAAAAGTGTTAAATCCACTGGTGGTGCCAAGGGAGCGCCAATTAGTTCAGACTTTAACGATAATTTGTTGACCAAGGTACCGTGTCGAATCGTACTGCATGGTCTATTACTTGACTGAGAGTGTTCTTTTTCGATTTAGAGGTAGCTTTCTGCATGACTCTCGAACACGATGAATTACTCTGATTACTCCGACCTACGAACTTACAAACTAACCATCCAAAATGGTCGATTTTTACATCGGTGTTCCCCCCCCCCCCNTCGGGAAAGTTTGGAAGTCACTGAAATATTTTTCACGATGCGCCAAGCTAGGCAAATCCTTGACGTACTAATATTCTTGTGTCTAGTTTCGTATCGTTATACTTAGACGGTCGCAAATATGTGACTCTCGAAATGCTTAAATATTCTTGGAGGCTGGAGTTCGGAGCTTACAGATTTATCAATTCGCCGAATTGTATCTTTAATATTCCGCGGAAAATTGGAAACTTATTACATGAATAACTTGAAACGCTCCCAAAGCTGGAACTTTTGAAAATCCCATGTTCTAGCAAGCGATAAAACTTGAAACTGCTTACCGAGTAAATCCAATCTAGTCGCGAAGTTAAGTCTTCGAAAATTCTAGTATCCTCGGAGCCTCGAGAAGGCTTGGTACTTGAACCATTTTACTGAGATTACTGAACAACACTTGATTGTAGCGAGACGACGAGCAAGACCGGCAAAATATCGAAGAGGGGAAAATGAATAGTATGAGTAGTACTAGCGAGTCCAACACTGTCGGCAGCACTACTGAACGTACGGGCGTTCAGGATGATAGCTCGACGTCGGAAAATTCCGACCAGGACTCGAATAATAAGGAGGACTCGGTTATTAAGATAAATACTGACACACAGACAATCGCAGGACAGGTATCGCAAACATATTAACATGCATCGCAGTCGAAGGATCCAGGGGAAAAACTTGGCCACTCGATACGATCTGTCGTATATTTCTTCACTGTTACTTTTATATGTTAACATCATGTACATACATAGCGCTGTCCGTCGTTAGTTAATTTTTGTTTTTAATTTGTTTGTAATCCCCCAAAAACGCTACGTGTCGAGAGATAAGAGCTGTTCGATTTTATCGTTGAACGAGAAAGAAAAAAGAAAGAAACAAACGAACTCGATGCACCCACAGTTTACAGAATATGTCGTAACAAAGGCAAATAAGTGTGACATACGTGTGCGTACAATCAGGTGTGCGAAGTACCCGAACAAACTTAAACAAGAAAGGAAACAAAAACAAAAATACATCTCGAGCGATCAATATTTCGTCAAGTCTCCTTCCCCTGGAGTCTTCCATTGTTTTCGTTTACCGCCAGACCTTGCCGGAGTATTAGAGCGCCTGAGTTCCTAGCAGGATGAACGATTAATTTAGCGTTTTACGAAGCGTACTTTCCAGTAGCCGAACAACATTAACGGAGGATCTTCCGACACTCAATTCAATTCAGCTTCAATTCCGTAGTAGCGTTTCGTTTTTTCAGTTCGTGTGACTTTTCTTTGCATCGAAAATTGCCGCCCGCCGATCAAACATCAGCACTAACAAGTTACTGCTCTCTCGTGTGAATGGCGCTTAATTATGGTTATAGTTATTATTCATGTAATTGGACCGCGAGTTTTAGACGATTAGTTCTGTCGGTCTTGCGCTTGAGAAGCTAAAATTAAGATCTGAGTCTGAACGATTATTCTTCCCCCGGAAATCTAATTATTGATCTAAATGAATATGATTAAAGAAAAAAGGGCATGTGCATGACACCGAGTCTACATTCTTTCGTTTCTCAGGTGCAAAATCATGACCTTGCATGTTAGTCTTGCTGTGTTTATTAATTGCATGCACATGTTTTAATGATAATAAATCAACAAACGATTATTTCTCCAATAGAAAGTTTTTGTTAGGGGTGATTTAATTAGCTGGTTCGTTGTTAGCGAATATCAGATCCCGTTTTGACGAGTTGCGAATCCTTGAAGCTGTTTCATGTATATCAATTGCGAGAGCTTTGATATTCTTATATATTAACACTTCGCGGAAAAAATTGTGTTATCGCAAAATTGTGCAGATAAGCCCTGGAATGTTGCAGGTTGCAATAAAAGAGTTGGAAAATAATGTCGAAATTTATTTCCCAACTCCCTGCGAATTAAAATTTATTACTTATCGCCATATACTTACTTTTTTGTAAATTTATACCGGGTGTTTTTTTTTCTACAGAATAAAAAATAACTTATCGACTTACGAAGATTGATTAATAAGAGATGTATATAAATTAATCTCTCTCTCTCTCTCTCTCTCTCTCTCTCTCTCTCTCTCTTTCTTTCTCTCTTTCTTTTTTCTCCATAAAATAGCTTTATAGGAGACAGAGAAATCAATTTATTTGGGCACGTTATCCATTCGCGAAGTGTTAAGAAGTGTAGAGTGCTATTAGTTACATTCAACGAGTACCAGAGAGACATACGCAGAGGATTGAAACTCGTATTCAAGGATCGCTTCCGGCTGTCCATTACATCGACTCTTCTGTTTCAGAAACCTGAAGAATTTTCCGGCCGCTCGAAAGATTACTCGGAGGACTATCCCGTCATCTTCAACATAATACTGTGGTTCGGCGTCGTTTTCTGCTTTTCTCTCTTAGTCATTTGCAGTACGTATCTTTCGAAATGGGAAAAGCTGATTCATGAAGTTTCACACCGGCGGATAATCTCTCGAGATTTTTCGGGAGGATTATCTCGAATCGATTATCTTCCAATCGATGATAAGACTTCACGCGTTATCTTGTCTCGACGAATATTCCAAATCGATTCCAACGAATAACGGAATCTTCCCGATACTTTGAATATTAAAGTTAAACATTCTCGAGGTCTCGAAAAGACCGGAAAGATTTAGTGATTCTCCGTAGCGATTTTTTACACAGGAGATGTTCGATTTAGATATTACAAATTATAAATGTCAGATACACACACGCACGATTTGATTTTAAAAGAGAATTCTAAATTAGACGTTTGTTTTCCCCCTGTAATCACACATATTCGTGTTCGTCTCCTCGAAGAAAATCGGACAGGATGGTAAATTTGCTGTGTTTTCAGTTGCAATCGGCGATATGGATCCAGGACGGGATTCCATTATCTACAGGATGACATCGAATCGAATGAAGAAGGACAATTAAATGTAAATATAGAGTTGTAATATTATAAAGTATGTTTCTGTGCAATGTGGTATTTTACTCGTCGGAGCGCCTGTGCGTAATTTATTAGTTTCGGTTCGTGAGATTTCCTCCTTCTCTTCGAAGTGGAGGAATCAGTCAGCTGTCACGAAGATTATCTAGCTCGGTTAATCGTCATAGCGCTCAAATCACTGGAACATATTTGTATCATCTCACCGGATCATATGGAAATGACTGTTACGTCGCTGCGAGAGACTTGTAAATCTGTATATGTCCCGTTAAAATTCGACCAATAAAATCGGTCGATTCCTAAATACATCATGTTTATCCGAGTTAAGATGCCTTATTTATCCTTCAATCGTTCGAAAATCAGGGTAAACACAAAGTATCGATCTGCTGCCGATCTCACTCCGATGTGTTTATTAAGATACGCGAAATAAACAATTTTTTACGTTATTTGTGTGTACCTTTTTAAATTTCAGGAGTGACAGAGAATATGAAAGAATTAAAAACTGTAGTCGAATGCCTCTTTATGTTAAGGAGACATTCTAGACCATAAATACGCATTTTTTCTAGAATTGTTTTCCTACAATGGAAAAACAGTAACAGGTACGCTTTTAAAAACTGCGCACATTTATTTATACAGCTCTGAAGAATATATATTTTTTGTTATGATAAAATTCATACATTTTTTAAAGTAATAAAGCAAAATGAATATGCATATGCAAATAATTCGTGTTGCTGCAGTCGTTGATTTTGCGTTTCTCATTATTCTGAATAAAAAAAAGAACAGAAAAGATTTGTGTTTAATACGAATGTGGCTATAGTACGAACTACAGGGAAGAAAAAAATATTGAGAATTTCCAAAATGTGTGGCAGCATTTCAAAGAAAAAGTTCGACATTTCACGAAAATGATCCGTTCTTTGATTGATAACCAAAAAATTTTACATATATCACATTGGTTGTAGTCCATGCGATGAAGAGACATTCGTTTTATATATTTGTCAAGTTTGACAAAGATTGTTTTATCGAGAATGTTAAAGTCTTCAGAAAAACGTGATTTCGAGAAAAACGATTTTAAAGTTTTACTTCTCATACATATAAGAGAGCATCATTTTCTTACCTATACTTAGTCATCCATTCTTGGACCATATAATAAGCTCTTCGCAAGTTCAAAATATTCTTCTCGGACCATTCTTTCTTGCTGACGAGCGATTCTTGCCTCTTTTGATGCTTCGGAATGCTTGCGCTTTGCTCGTTATTTTCTATGCGTTTACTACATTTCAAGCAAACTTTTCATCATTCAATGTAGAATATGTTTTTGATATGTTTTGCAGATATTGCCGGACGAAAAGCTGTCGACAACCAAGCGTCCTTAATAATAACTACTTTCAAATCTAGGAGATTGGAAACAATCTAAAAGGTCGCAAGTAGTAAAACAAGTCTAAGAAACAACAACAATACAAAGAAACGTTAATATAAATATAATTATAAATGTCGTCTAAACTACCTTTCTTTTATGTCGTCACGTGCGCCAAATGCTCTTATTCACTGTCTGCACTCCGCTTCTCGATCTCAACTTTGCCACTTTTTCAAATTTTTATCTGACACTCTACAGACATATTTTCAAGATTCTAAACTTGAAGAAAATCTCAAAGTTCTAGACTCGAATACCTCCTTAACACCTTTCAATTTTCCAACCTCTCTGAAACTGTGTGATTACATTCGCGCAAAATTAAATGCGCGATATTAACAATTTTTTACGCTATTTACGCGTACTTTTTTAAATTTCAGGAATGTCAGAGAAGACGGAAAGATTAAGAGCTGTGGTCGAACGTCTTTATATTAACACTGATTTGTTCAACCTCCCTGTCTCTCTGAAACTATGTGATCACTCCCGCGCAAGATTAAACGCGTAAATCACAAGCTAGACGTAAACGATATGTAAAAATATTCAAGATGAAATATTAAAATCTTATCTTTAGTTTCCTCGGCACTCTCACGAATCTACGGGTCTTCAGCAACGCGGAATGTCTAGCAATCCTGTCGCTGATTTCGCGCGGCAGTGTCGACGGCATTTTAACACACAGCGACTTCTTTTTTGCGCGCTTTTCGCAAGCGACATGCATCGCGATTGCGCAAGTCATTACGAATGTATCTCTGGTTTTCCATTTCCTAAGTATCTTACCTTGTAATACTTGCTTCAATGTGTCTGTTATTATTAGCTGTGCCGTAATTATGCTTCCTGAATACCGTAATGCTTTCGAATTATTATTGCATTGCATATTTTAATTAAATCTCCTGCCGGCTGCTTAAGAAATCCCCTCCGACGCGTGTTCTCGGAACAATCGGCTTTAATTGAGCGAAATAAAATGTTCAAGGGGAAATGTGTTTCGAATACGGCTGATTACATTACTACGTGTATACAGGCTGTCCCGTTTCGCTGAGATGCGTTTCGTTACGATTTTTCTTCGGCAAACTTGTCTCACAATTCCACTTTGTCATTTAACACACGAATAATCCTTAGTTAATAGACATTTTAATTAATTTGTTATGATTTTATTGTCGATTTAATAACGATTTAATAACGATCCTATTTCGTTCTTCAATCGACCGATAATTTGATCGATTAATAATTTAATGGACCGATAATTTGATCGACAATAATTTAATGGAATGATAATATTTTTTTCTTTGTTATCGCCAAGTGTAGTAATTTATTTCCTTGTTACATAAGTTCATTAAAAAACTGTCACGATGTTTCTATCTGCTCATCTCGACAGGCGACGATTTAAATTTCAAATTGCACTATAAAATCGGACTGGCCGTCGTTCTTTCAATAACTAATACTGAGAAGAGCCTTGTCTGTCGACTTCTTTGAAATCGACCGCTGGTCGTTTCTTCGTTAAAACCGCACGTGTCTATACTGATACATCTATTTAGTCGATTCTAAAATTTCGTTTGGATACGAGTTAAACAAACGGTTAGTTCTTTGAACTAAAGGTCTGGTTCTCCGAAACCAAATCTTTTCCACTTTACCTTTCGAGAGCCAAATATCTCACAACCCAAACACTTGCTTGTCCACATTCGAACTAAATTTCATTCGAGTCGCCTAAATGGGGGCGTTCAGTGTGATTTCGGGGAGGGGGGGGGGGCNTTCACGAGGATTCTCTTCTCGGTCGCACGAGCACGCTCGGTGTTGGAAATCGCGAAGTGCGAATCAACCGAGGCGAATTCACGAGCCACCGCGGGGGGCCTCGTTTGCGCCATTGTTATTCCACGCGACGATTTTTTCAACGATCAAAATAGACACAACGAGCGCGATACTCTCGAGTCGAGTGATCCGAGTCGCACTACCAAGGATCCGTGACATATAGATGCTGCGTGCAGCGGCAACAGCTGAGGTCGACTCCTCTCGGCGAAGGTTTCGCACCCCACCTACTCGGCCCGATCCCTCCCCCCCACCTGCTCTCGTTGCTCGCACACCCCACCCGAGCTGTTCTCCAACAACACCTGTCGTTACCGCGGCGAACGACTTGGCTTTCCGCCAGTCTGACGTATATACGTTGTCGCGGGTTCTCCCGGGGATTCTCGTCGCGTGCAGTGCGAGTCCTGTTGCTCGTGCCGATCCGTCGTTCGCTCGCTCGTTTCTGCGCTGATTTGTGCGCGCTCGTATCGCCGAGGTTGTCGTCCCGTGTTATTGTTGTTCCCGTGTGTCGTCATTGTCGTTCTCGGTGGTTGCGTCCGTGAAACCGGATCCTTCGCGAGGGATCTTTCAAATCCGGCGGGTTCTGTGTCCCGTGGCGAGGATAAGGGTTCTCGATGTGTGGAGGACACCGGGGATGATACGGAGGAAATTTTCGGGGATTCCGATCTTTCGAGGAAGCGCGGGATCGAGAGAGAGGTTTGACACCTGTTGAATTCTCAAAATGATCCGCGAGATCTGCCGAGGTCGGCGCGCAGATCGAGGCGATTTTTCGCATCGGTAATCGCGGTAATATATAATAATGATAATAATAATAATAATAATCAATAAGAAAATACTTTCATCGCACGGAGATAGCGTCAATGATCGTCGCGCGCGATAAGAATTATTAGCTGGATCGTCGAGTCGCAACTCGCGTATCGTTCGAGTCGGGCGCTTGACTTACGAGCGGAAAGGAGAGATCGAGATCACGGAGACCGGGGATCGATCGATCGATCACTCTGGAGATGCGCATTGTGTTTTCCGCGAGATCGCCGCGCGATCACGTGGTGCGCCGCGTCGCCGTGCTACTTCAGGACCAGTCATACCTGTAATTCCACGTTTCCAGCCACCACGTGGTCGGACGCAATCTCATAAACACACTTATCGCGCGCCTAGATCATCGACGATCTAGGAAAACATCGAGTCCTCCGATCGGGATCTCCCGATCTTTCTCGAGAGAGAAACTCGGGGTCGAATACCCCGTTAGACGCGACGCTTAGGGCCCCGTGAGTTTTCTTCGGGCTCGACGCGCGGGCGGAGATGATTTTTCTCTCTTCGTATTGACGCGATTCGCCGGAGAGTCGCGGGAAAACGGTTATTAACGACGAATGAGCACGCCGGTTTCTTCCACACATCGGACAATCGTAGGAAATCGGCCGTCTATTAGCGGAACGATTCTCGCCATCTACGGGGGGATCGCGAGGAATGGCGATCGCTCCTCGGTGATTATTCGTAGTGATTCAGGCGGCGCGAATGAAAATGAGCGATTTGTAATGTGGAGGATCCCGAGAGGCGAATATCGCCGTATCGAATCGATGTATCGATAAGGCGAGGTTTCTCTCGACTCGCTTCGGGGAAGAAGCGACGATCGAGGGGGCGCCGGTCGAAGAGATCTCCGCGAGGAGATTAAATTCTTCTCGAAAGGGACGTTCGGGCCGAAGGAAAACTTTCCGAAACCTTTCGAAGTGAGGAGGGGAAAGTGGAAGAAGCGGAACGTCGAGGGTCGATTTCAAGGCAGCACACGTGGTGGAAAAACTCCGGAAAGAAAGTCCCCCGGACGAAATAATAGTGCCCGAGAGAGAAAGAGGGAGGACGTGATCTTTGAACGGACAGCCGAGGGAGTTCCGGAAGGATCGTCAACAGATCTTAATTCCGAGGGAGGAAACATCCGCGAGGACGAAGGGAAATAAAAGAAACTCGTCTCGGGGAAGACGCTTCGCTCGTCCGTCCCGTTTGTCCCCGACTTCTCGATTCCGGCGTGGATATCGCTTCGTCTACCGCTGGTAGACGAGAATGACACTCGGGAAGGTGTTCGCGCGAGAGCCGCGGGGCGTCGCGACGCCGGGCCGACGAATTGAGGAAAA